CGGGCCCTGGCACCTGGATGAACTGTTCAAACTTCTGGATGTGGGCCTTCAGCTGGGCCTCCTTGACACCCAGTTCCTCCCAGCGCAGGTTCAGGGTCTCCATGCGGCGCTGAAATATCTTGGGGCGGGGGCAGCACAGGGGTCAGGAGCGCTCCTGCGCCTCCTGCCCCCGGGGCCTCTGCCCCCAGGCCTCCCGCCTTCTGCCCCACACCGCGTTCAGAGCAGGGCATCCCAGGCCCCTGCTACCCCCAAGATGAAGATCCCTTCTCTCTCCTGGGAGGGAACACAGAACCTCGGCGCAGGACTCCTGGCTCCAGCCACTGCCACGCGCAGGATGGGTGGGGGGGGGCGTGCTCAGGTTCTGAACCCCGTGGCCCTTTCCGCACCCCAGGGCCAGGCCACCTCCTTCTTCTGCTCCATAGCCCGGTGCATGATCTTGGCTTCCTTCTTCTTCTCCAGGAGCCGGATGGATGGAGACTCCAACTGGTTCTCAATGTTCGGGAATTTCCTGCCCAAGACACAGGTGAGAGAGGCCTGTGGGTTCTGAGCTCTTGGGACAGACTGGGGCTGGGCCAACACCGGAGGAGGCCGGGGGAAGGGGTGGTCCTGTCCCCCACAGGAGGGAAAGGAGTGGCATGTGGGGAGGGAGGGCTGCGTTGGCATCTGGGAATGGTGGGGCAGAGTGACAAGGGCTGGGGGTCCGATTGGGACCGTGCGTTGGTGCCAGGGTTGAGGGCAGGTGACTTGGGGCTCATGGTTACAGGGGGGAGGGAGAGACTGGAAGGGGGGGCACAGGAACTGTGGGCGCCCCCAGACCCGAGACACTCACTGCAACAGTTGTAGCAGCCGCTCCCCATACTGTAGCCGAAAGTACTCGGCCAGGTCTTCCTCCTCCATGATGCCCAGACTCATCCTGATGCTGCCCCAGGGGGCCGAGCGGCCCAGTCCTCGCGGTGAAACTGAGGCGGGGGGTGGGGGGGTGGGGGGGGTGGTTGCTGGCTGGGCTCTTGCTTCTCCCTTCCTGCTGCTTCTCAGGGACCCACAGAGGGAAAGACGGCAGGAGGCTGGCGGGTCGGCAGCTCAGGGTGGGGTGTGGGCAAGTGACGGGAGATCGGGTTACCTGGCAACAGGCCTCCTGGTTCTGTGGGCCGCCTGCGGAACCCAGGCTCTGCCCTCTGACCCTTGTCCCCGCGTGGACCCCAGTCCCGCTGGAACCCCGTCTTTTTTTAACCTCCCCGCCCCCTCCCCGGGAGCTCTGGGAGGTTAAGCCTGATCAGGGTCTGGTGTCCAGGCCTGGGAGGCAGGGTCGGGGGTCCACGGCCCAATAGGGGGCTTCGGTGGAGGGGAGTCCTTGGGGGCTCAGGTGTGTGAGAGGGTGAGAGGGCGGCTGGGGCTGGGACAGTCCGCCCAGAAGAAAAGGAGGCGGGGGTGGGGGCCCGCGGTGGGGGGGGCGAGCTTGAGGACCAAGCGGTGGGCCCGGTAGGCGGGGAGCCTGGGGACCAAAGAGGCCGCGGCGGGGAGGTGGAGGGGTCCCCTGCCCCGGCGGTGTAGCCGGCTCAGGGCCAGGGCCATCAGAATATGAAGAAAAGCCGCCCCCTGGCACCGTGACTGGCACAGATTTCCCACGTGTCCCAGATGAGGGCTGCCTTCCTTCATCCGGTGAGCGCTCCAGACTGGACACCCCGTGGGAGGCGGGGGCCCAGGGGTCCCGGGTTGGGGAGCGGGGCGGTGCCGGCCGCGACCTCGAGTCCCTGCTCCGGGCACAGGTTTCCGGCCGCGCGCCGTCCCCTCGGTGCCCCGCCCGCGCCGGCCGCGGAGTTCGGCCCCTCCGGGTCTGGGGCGGGGGTCCCTCCCAGGCCCGGCGGCGCCCGGAGCGTGCCCGCCCACCCCGCGGCATCGCTGGTCCTCTGGCGCCCCCTGCTGGCCGTCCGACGCGGGCCCCGAAGGGGAGGCGCGGTGGGGGCGCTGCCCAGCCCCCTCCCCAGTCCCTTCTCCCCAGTGCCCTCCGGAGCCGGCCACCGCCCGCGGGGACAGGGGTGGGGGAAGCAGGACACCCCCCACCCCGCCCTCAGGCCCCCAGCCCGCAGTGGTTCTCACCGGGAGCGCCCCAAGAAACAGGGTCCGCAAAAGGGGACGTTTCTCTCCTTGTGCGCTCCTAGGGCTGGCGCAGGCCAGCCGGGCTTTACCTTCTTTTTCCCCGTGAGGAGGGGGCTGTCTGCCTCTCGGGTCATCTGTTTGCCCGAGTATATGCACGAATCCTGGGGTGCATCTGTGGCGTCAGGGGGCCGAGGGCCAAGCCCCTTCTGGGGCTTCCTCCGCACCTCGCACGAGAACCTTCTTCAGCACTGCTCACCACCAGCCCTCTCTGGGGTCTCACTATCCCGCCTTAGGGGCCTTAGGGAAGACGCAGGGCTGTCTGGGAGTCCCAGGCTTTCGGTTCTTTCTGGGTGTACATATGGGATCCCGGTAGCTCTGCGTCCAGTTTTGTGAGGAACCACCGTGCGGCCCTCCAGGGTGACTGCGCATTTCACATTACCGCCGGCGGGGCCTGATGGTTCCAATCTCCCTACACCTCCACCAACACCGCACATCTGTTATTTCAGTAGCAGCCATCCCGATTGGGTGGGAGGTAATAGCTCACCTAAAATTATATTACCTTTAATTACGAGAGTAATAAGGGATGACATTCTCATTCTAGAACATTCAAGTGATACCAGTCTAGCTGGAGCCCAGTTGGTCCACCATCTGACGCTGTGTCCCAGAGCCCATGTTCACATGAGCTCCAAAAATACTCGTGCTGAGGGGCGCCTGGGTGGCTCAGTTGTTAAGCCTCTGCCTTTGGCTCAGGTCATGATCTCAGGGTCCTGGGATCGAGCCCCCCATCGGCTCTCTGCTCAGCGGGGAGCCTGCTTCCCCCCTCTCTCTCTGCCTGCCTCTCTGCTTACTTGCGATCTCTCTCTCTCTCACTCTCTCTGTCATATAAATAAATAAGATCTTAAAAAAAAAAAAAAGATTTGTGCTGAGTGCCTGTGATGTACTGAACCTCTCCTAGGTGGCGGAGGGGGGCTGGGGGATAGAGCAGAGAACAAAGCGAAGTCCCCACTGTTACTGTGGTTGAGGGAGGAAGCAGGAAGTAAAGACTCTGGTGACTAGGTCTGGGGATGCTGTCCCCAGGGCAGTCCCCTCACTACCACCACAAGGGACCACAGGAGGGGAGGGCGGAGGAGGTGGGACAAAGGAACCAGTCAGAACCCACTGACCCAGGCACCTCCCATTAAAAACTCTTCCATGCAGGGCGCCTGGGTGGCTCAGTGAGTTAAACCCTCTGCCTTCAGCTCAGGTCATGATCTCAGGGTCCTGGGATCGAGCCCCACATCGGGCTCTCTGCTCCATGGGGAGCCTGCTTCCGCCCCCACCCCCCCCACCGCCTGCCTCTCTGCCTACTTGTGATCTCTCTATCAAATAAATAAAATCTTAAAAAAAAAAATAAAATCTCTTCCATGGGATGTCTCTCCTCCAGGTCCTACAGATACAAAGCTCAGGGTCCCTGAGCTTTCTAAGAGCCTAAACAACGTTTGAAGCCTGGAAATGATTATTGGCTCTCAGATACAAAAAGGAAGCCATGAAATAAAGGATAAATGTTTAATTAAAAGCATGCAAACGTAATATCCCAACTTTCTGAGTTTTCAACTTTAGCATTTCACGCATTCGAAAGGAATCTGGAGATCCGATTTTCTCACTTCTCAAGAATTTCCAATTCTGCACAGATTTTTGGAAAAAAATCAAAACAAATTGAGAACTAAATGAGTTACTCACTGACAATTTCAAAACTGAGGTTGTGAAAATCCTCTCACTTCCCCCACCCAATCCAAATCGTGTTTAGTGTTGATGGGAGTGAATTTTAATTTGCTTGCTATGGTGGGGGTTAGGTCTTCCTTAAGTTCCTTGCAAGGTCGGGTTTCTAAGATGGCCCATGTGGGTTTTCACTAACAGAATTGTGCAAGACAGCAGTCTCACTGAGCCCAGGAAACATTCTGTTACTCTTTTTGGCAGCTCGCTGAGCCCGAGGATGACAGGCCCCAGTGGAGGCGGTTTCAAGGGCGTCTTGCGGCACAAGGGAGAGGTTCTGCCTCTCGCTGGCTAGCCATGCGCCAACTCTGAACTTGGAGTCTGGCCCCAAACCTCAACCTGCTCTGTGGTTTGTCCTTGAAATAGTAAATGACTCCTTGCTGTGTTCTGATGCCCGCTTTCCCACCATTTATGTTCCTGAGAACAGAATCCCCACTGGCCCCAACTAAAAGACCTCTGCTGAACAGTGGCTGAAATCATTCCTTTCCTTCTGACCTTGATGTTCTAGGAGTGTGGCCCTCTCCCCACATCAGGAAGCTGGCCGATGCTCTTGGTCCTACTATGGGAGCTTCACCAGCGACCTCGTGACCTAGGAGAGAACTACGTCAATAGCAATTAGCTTCTTATTCTCTGATCCAAGTTTTTCCATCTATTTTATGATTCTCCTTGCCTTTAGCAAGGACACTTTGCTTTATCTCAAACAAGTATTTCCACAGTCGTAGTTCTCCATCTTTGGACATCAAACCTAATTTTTAAAAGATAAAACGTTGCCTTTGAATACACACATATGTAATAAAAATGTAAAGAGCTATGGGGAATGATAGTCGACAAATTTAGGAAAATAGTTATTACCACTCGGTGCTGATGGGGGGAGGGTTACTATAAATTGGTAATGAAAGTGCCTGTCTCGTATAAATTGGTAATGAATAATATCTTAGAAGGGGCATAAGTGTTCATTATATTATTCTGCATACTTTTATTATTGCAGAAATATTTAATAATAGATTTAAAGGGAAAGTCTTTTGTATCTGTTCCCACGGTGGTTAAACATGTTTGTTATTCTCAACACCTGCTGTCTCTCTCCTCTTAACCTCTATTCAATCACTGGTTTTCGTTTTTCTTGTGAACCTCTGCCAGCATCCTCTCTCTTCCCCTTGTTCCTTGAATCTTGATTGACATCCCTCCTCCAAACTTGACATCTGTTCTTGCTAATAACGCTCTCACTGGGTGGTCCCCATTATGCCTCTTTATCTCCTTGGAAACTGTGGAGTCTTAAAATATCAATGTCTCTTACCTGCCACCTCTTCATTTACTGTGCAGAGTCACAGAATTTTAGAGCCAGATTCATTTGAGATCATCTATTCCAAACTTCTCATCATGTAGAAGAAAAAAAAAATGGACACTTGGGGATTTAAGTTCATCTTCAGCGATAGCAAAGCCAGGATTCCAAATGAGGCTAACTTCAAGTCGGATTGAAAACCAGGAGGAGGTCTTTGCTCCTGTCCCTGGAAATGTGGAGGTGGGAGGCAGGTTGATGGATTCCCTAAACTGAATGCAAAAACTAATTTACAATTTACAATTGCACCAAAAGGAATAAAATACCTAGGAATAAACTTAAGCACAGAAGTGAAGGACTTGCAGTCTGAAAACTACAAAACACCGATGAAAGAAGTTGAAGGCAACACAAAGAAATGGAAAGATAGCCCAAGTTCATGGATTAGAGGAATTAATATTGTTAAAACGTCCCTACTACCCAAAGCAATCTACAGATTCAATGCAATCCTTATCCAAACACCAACAGCATTTTTCACAAAACAAGAACAAATAATACTAAAATTTGTATGGAACCACAAAAGACGCTGAATAGCCAAAACAACCTTGAGAAAGAGAAACAAAGCTGTGGGTATCATAATCTTAGATCTCAAGATACACTACAAAGCTGTAGTGATCAAAACAGTATGGTATTGCCACAGAAGTAGTCACACAGAGCAATGGAACAGCATAGAAACCCCTAAGCCCACACTTATATAGTCAATTAATCTTCAACAAAGCAGGCAAGAATATACAATGGGGAAAAGACAGTCTCTTCAATA